AGGGATGAAACAAATAAAGTTTGTGTTCCCTGGAATTTATAAAATTAAAGGGCAGTTTGAAGTTTTAAAGATATTAAAGGGGAACAGACAGTAAACAGAGAGAAATAATTTCTAATGTTGGAGATTTAGAACTAAGAGACATAGCTTGAAGATTTGAGACAGCCCTTTCAGGAGTAAAGTCAAGATAGACTCCTATACCTAAATGGTAGTAAAAGTTTGGAACTCTCTTCTCCAGATGGCGCATGATGCTGGGTCCATTACAATTTTTATGTTTGAAATTGATAGACTTGCATTATCTGAAGACATTAAGGAATATGGTGGAGCAAAACGAGTCATTGAGAATTGGGAAAATAATCTCCACTGGTTGGAGTCATGCCTAGTACATAGGAAGATGGTTGTGGTTGTTGAAGGTCACTCATTTCAGCAGCAGTTCATTTCTCAGGACAGTGTCCCAGGTCCAATCATCTTCAGTTAGAACATAGAACATAGAACATAGAACATTACAGCGCAGTACAGGCCCTTCGGCTCTCGATGTTGCGCCGACCTGTGAAACCAATCTGAAGCCCATCTAACCTAAACTATTCCATTATCATCCATATGTTTATCCAATGACCATTTAAATGCCCTTAAAGTGGGCGAGTCTACTATTTTTGCAGGCAGGGCATTCCACGCCCTTAATACTCTCTGAGTAAAGAACCTACCTCTGACATCTGTCCTATATCTATCACCCCTCAATTTAAAGCTATGTCCCCTCGTGCTAGCCATCACCATCCGAGGAAAAAGGCTCCCACTGTCCACCCTATCTAATCCTCTGATCATCTTGTATGTCTCTATCAAGTCACCTCTTAACCTTCTTCTCTCTAACGAAAACAGCCTCAAAACCCTCAGCCTTTCCTCATAAGACCTTCCCTCCATACCAGGCAACATCCTGGTAAATCTCCTCTGCACCCTTTCCAATGCTTCCACATCCTTCCTATAATGCGGTGACCAGAACTGTACGCAATACTCCAAGTGCGGCCGCACCAGAGTTTTGTACAGCTGCAACATGACCTCATGGCTCCGAAACTCAATCCCTCTACCAATAAAACCTAACATACTGTACGCCTTCTTAACAACGCTATCAACCTGGGTGGCAACTTTCAGTGATCTATGCACATGGACACCGAGATCTTTCTGCTCATCCACACTACCAAGAATCTTACCATGAGCCCAGTACTCTGTATTCCTGTTACTCCTTCCAAAGTGAATCACCTCACACTTTTCCGCATATTAAACTCCATTTGCCACCTCTCAGCCCAGCTCTGCAGCTTATCTATGTCCCTCTGTAACCTACAACATCCTTCTGCACTATCCACAACTCCACCGACTTTGGTGTCATCCGCAAATTTACTAACCCATCCTTCTACGCCCTCATCCAGGTCATTTATAAAAATGACAAACAGCAGTGGCCCCAAAACAGATCCTTGAGGTACACCACTAGTAACTGAACTCCAGGATGAACATTTCCCATCAACCACCACCCTCTGTCTTCTTACAGCTAGCCAATTTCTGATCCAAACCGCTAAATCACCCTCAATCCCATGCCTCCGTTGTTCATTAATGACTTTCCCTCCATTATAAGGTCAGAATTGGGGATGTTGTCTAATGACTGCACACTGTTCAGAACCATTCACACCTCTCCAGATAATAAAGCAGTCCATGTCTGTGTGCAGCAAGACTTGAACAATATTTACACTTGAGCTGGTAGATGGCAAGTAACATTCAATAAATCCCAAACTATTACCATCTCCAACAAGAGAAAATGTAACTATCTTCCCTTGCCTTTAATGGCATTTCCATCGCTAAATCTCCATGATCAATTCTAGGGATTATGATTGACTAGAAACTGAATTGGAACAACTATATAAATGCTTTGTGGCTACAAGAGGAGGTCAGAGGCTCGGAATCATACAGTCAATGACTCACACTTGACTCCCCAAAGACTGGTCACCATGTACTAGGCACGAATCAGAATTGTGATGGGGATTTCTCCACTATCTGGCTGGGTATAGACCCAAAAAATCTCAAGAAGATCATCACCATCCAGAAAAAACTAATCCACTTGATTGGCATCCCATCCACCACCTTAAACATTCAATGCCAATAGACAGTGGGAGCAGAGTGTATTTTTTACAAGATGCACTACAGTAACTCACCAAGGCTATTTCCATAACTCCTTCCAAATGTGCAACCTCTAGAAGGACAAGAACAGCCTGGAAACAGCACTATCTGCAACTTCTGTTCCAAGTCCTGACTTGGAACTTCATCATCATCCCTTCACTATCGCCACATTCAAAACCTGAAACTCTCTTCCAAACAGCACTGTAGATGTTCCTGCACCACAAGACTGCAATGATTACAGATGGCAACACAACATCACCTTCTCAAGGACGATTCAAGTGAGTATTAAATGTTGGCCTAGGCAGCAAAGCCAACATCCTATGGATGAATTTACAAAAAAAAAATAGATGTATGGAGTTAGGTGGCAGAACAGTCATGATCTTACTGAATGGTGAAACAGACCTATGTTACGCAGTTCATGTGGTAAACTTTAATATCACACTGCTGCTGAGGCAACTCCCTCTAACATGATAATTTCACATCTTTCCCATAGTAATTGGAAGAACATTTATATATGTAAATTCATTCAATATCAACATATCACAAAATGGTAATAAATACTCTTTTTAAAAATGCTACTTTATTTTCTATCATTAATTGATTCATTTAAAAAAAATTGAATCTGATCTCTGCTGCATTAAAACAAAATCAAATGAATTATTTCAATTCTAATCAACTTATTAGTGACAGGTTTCATCCATTTGCAGGAATAATAAAGTTTAACAACCCACTAAAGAATTAAAATACTTTATAGCTGCTGTACAAATTTACATTCATTCACTACCTGTTTAAGTTTGGTTAGAATAGTTATGATCCACAGCTGTACAGAAATAAAAACAGCAGTAAAATGGAGACACCAGTGACTGAATAATTTTCTTTTACTTCCCAGTAATTCTTCGGTAATGAATACCATAATAAATATTCCTTTAAAAGATATATATTTATTTCCTTTTTAATACTTCCCAGTGGCATAATTTGTCCCGTTCCAATTTTTCCCAGCTTTGAACTATTTTGTACACCATCTGTGGATTGCGTTCTGCTTTCATGGCACATTTATGCCTTCTGGAAGTTTCTTTGAGCTTCACCTCTCTGCCTAGCTGCTGGATTAAAGAATCACCCTTTTCGTCAGCCATTTTTATGCTAGGCCAATGCAACTCTGAATGCGGGAAGTTGAATCTGTCTAATTCAGCTCTCACCATTGTTACAATCAGATCTTGAGTGAAATTTCCCAATTTGTTACAGTTCCAGATGGGATACCTGAAATTGTTAAATTCCCAGGTGAAGCAGGATAAACTGGCTCCCCTCTTTTTTTTTTCCCCCACTCTCCTCCTTGGTTGTTGCAACAAGTTTAATTTAAAAAGGCTTCCTTTATTTTTCCAGACCCAAATTATCTTTTTCCTTTAAATGGAACCATATAACCAGGCTTTCCTGTGATAATAAAGGATTAATTAATTACTAAGTGTGAAAAGTAGCAGTGAAGTAACACACTACAATACAGAGCAGAAATAAGAGGTGATTCCAAAAAGATAAAAATAAAACAAGACGGAATGCAGAATAAGAGGTGAACTGATGGGACAGTCCCATGAAATACAGGATGGAGGATCACCCTGTGCAGAGCGTTTCCAAAAAAGGACAGTGAACAGAGAGGGGGTGAGTCAGCCAGAGGGACAAAGTGCAAGAGACAGACCTATGGACCAGCTGGAGACTGTGAATGATGAAACATAGAGCAAGTAATTTTGAGAATGCAAGTTTGGACTTTCGTTTCTGAGGGAACAATGGTTATACTTGCCCTCTGTTGTCAATGACAAAGAGATAAGATTAAGGAGGCATGGTGGTGGATAGGATATAAGACTTGACAGACAGCTCAATGTTAAACTGGTGACGATGAGATCAAGTATGTCTTTGTCTATTGGCTCCCTCATCATCTCCTGAAGATTCATTCTTGCAGCTATGAGCCACTCTTGGTGATGGGGCATTAAGGTCCCTATCCAGTACATTATATGCTCTTGCCACTCAGTGCATCCTCCAATTGGTATTCAACATGGAGGAGTACTGATTCTTCAGTAAGGTGTGTGGTTGTGGGTGTGGCTGTGGGTGTGTGTTAATCAGGAAGTTTCCTTGCCCATGTTTGATCTTATGTCATGAGGTTTCATGGGGTCTGCAGTCAATGTTAAGGGCTCCTAGGCCAACTTCATCTCAACTATATACCAATGTGCCACCAACTCCACTAAGTCTATCCTGCAGATGGGACATGACACATTCAGAATGATGATGGTTGTTGTCTGGGACATTGTGTAAGGTATAATCCCATGGGTATCTCAGGTTGTTGCTTGACTAGTGTGTGATACGGCTTTCCCAATTTTGGCATAAACTCCACTGTTAACGAGGAGAATTTTGCCATCTGGGTTAGGTTTGTCATTGTTTATTAACTGAATTTAAAATCGCACTACAGCAATCAAAGTATGTCCACATAGCAATAGCCTGGGCCTCTGAACTACTGGTACAGTGAGATTCTCACCATACCGTGACCTGCCCCTCCTGACTGACTGTCACTCCTGTCAAGTGAAACTCTAACATGCTGTGTGATATTATCATACATTTATTTAGCTACATTCAGATACATCCCAATTGAATGTTTTAAGCAGATTAAGACCTATCTTCAAATAATAGATAAAGGAAATTGGTTCAAATGTGGCAATTATTTGTCTAATATTCATATATCCAGGCATCTGAGACATTTAATAAAAAATGTACATATGTCAGGAATTACTTCATTTGCATGTTGCAACATTTCTTTTCACATGGCACACAACAAAAAAAATCCTAAAACACTCAAAATCTACTTTTTCTATAAATATTTTTATTAGAACACTAAATGAAAGTCATCTCCAGAGGCGGTGGAACACAACTTTTCCAGTCAGCAGACAGCTGTAAATGAATGAAGAATCTCATCTCACATTTCATTTGCCAAGAAAATAAAATCACACACACTGCCTGCTGAATACATTCTGACTTATCTACATGAATTAGAAACAAAGGCACCCAGTTGTATTCAGAAAGCATGTCACCCGTGGAATAAGACAAGGCTCATTTGCATGAATTAAACAAAGCAAAAATAATTCTTGTCCTGGTCTTTGTCATACAATTTCTAATCCTAGTGCATTTCATGTAGTGAATTACATTATGTATACTGATTTTTATACTGATTTATACTGTTTGCAACATGATAAGTTTAACATTTTAGTGGAAACACAAGTTATTTCAAAATCAATTCCACAAAGACTTGCATTTATACAGCAAATGTAACATCATAAACTGACCTAAAGTTCTTCTCAGATGCATTATAAAACAAAATGATACTAAGTAAAAGAAAGATGATAGTAAGACAAAAGCTTAGGTATTATGGAGTGTATTAAAAGGAGGAAAGCGAGATTGAGAGGTTTAGAAGATGAATCCCAGAACTTGGGGCTGCAGGCAGCTAAAAGCATAACCATCAATAATAAAAGTGTTAAAATTGGGGATATTCAAAATGCCAGTATTATAAGATTGAAGGAATGCGAGGATCGTGAGACTGGGGATTACAGAGAGGTAGAGATGAATATCATGGGAGATTAGAATAGAAGGGAATACAAAGACCAGTGCACTACTAACTGGGAGCAAACACAAGTTAGTTAGTGATGATGGGTACATAGGATCTAGTGCAGGTTAGGACATGGGCAGCAACGTTGGAAGTTTGAGGTGGAATGAATGAGGGTTATCAGCAAGGAGCATATAGGAGTTGTCAAGTCTGGAGGTAACAAAAGCACGAGTGAGGATTTCGGCAGCAGATGAAATGCAGGGGCTGATATGTGGGTATTGTTATGCAATGGAAATAGGCAGGCTTAGTGATCACTTGGATAACTGTTTGAAAACTTGTATTGGGGTCAAACATGACACAGAAGCTGTGAACATTCTGGCCCAGCCTTGGACAAATACAAGAGAGACGAATGGAGCTAGTAGTGTCTGTAGTGTGAAACAAAGACATGACTTCAATCTTCCCAATATAAATTTGGGGAAATTTCTGCTCATCCAGCACTAGACCTCAGATGAGCATCTCTATTAATTTAGAAACAGGGGAGGAAGCAATTTTGTTACGTTTTTGCCTTCAATTTTACCCTGAGAAGCTCATTTAATTCTGAATTTTTTTCAGTGTATAAATTAAATTATTTTGGTGACAGTAGTTGACATACTCCTCCTTTTTCTTGAAAGATGTCTGGTTATCCCTTTTCTAGCCTGATATTTGCCATTTGGTATTGGCTATCTCCACCATCATAGCCTGAGTCATTTTGTGAAGATGAAGGATATGTTAAGAGCAAGCAATCTCAAGTGTATGACAAAGAAAACAATTCATACAATGCCACATTCTATCCACCTCCCTGATGAATCAAAAACCTGGATAATTAGTAAAACAATTTTGAAGAAAGTATAGGCCTTTGAAATATGATGCTAAGACTTGCTAACAGTTCTATGTGCAGGTCAGAAGAGAAAAAAAGAACTAAAAAGAAATACATCTGGAAAATACCTCAGCCACTTGATTGGAGCTGAAAAAACTAGAGATTCGTTCTGGGCAGCAAAGTGGAGGGCACTGAAAAGAAAAGTTGACCCTGACATGGTTGGATGTAAATATCAGTGTGGTTTCGGATGCACTACATGGATGGGGCAAGACAGATAAACATGCATACCAGACAGCAGAAACAGGTCAAATCAAGAGAGGGGATTGGAATGCAATGTGTTTTCAAATGATGTCACTGAGAACAAGAATTGAGAAATAGATGGGGACCACAGATTGATTCTAGGAGGAACCCACAAGTAATGCTGCAAGAGAAGACATTGATTGAGTGTGTCTGGCAAGTAGTAAATGGGTAAGACGGGAAATAGTTAAGTACAGTCCCACTCAGCCAAATGACAGTGGATTGGTATTGGAGAAGGACGGCCATAGTTATTCAGTCATAGTCACTGTGTCAAAGGTTGCAAACAGGTTGAGAATACAAAGAGGAATAGTTCACCTTTGTCACAATGACACAGGATGTTATTTGTGACATTTTCAAATAATTGTTTTAGTGCTTATCAAGAACTGGAAATGTGATTGCAAAGATTCAAACATGGAAGATGAACATCAACGTGAAGGCCAATAAGGTGCTTAAGGTTCTTGGATAAGAAGGGGAAGTTGGAAATGGGGTCACAGTTTACAATGATGGAGGGATCAAGGGTTGGCCCTTTAAGGACAGGTTAATAATGGCAGATTTGAAGAGGGTTGGATCAGGAGTAGAAAGCCCTATCCACTGACATAGGAGGCAGGAAGGGAAGTTGGATTGTTAATAGTTTAATAGGAATAGGGTCAAGAGACAAAGAGATAGGTTTTGTGGGCAAGATAAGCTCAATGGAGATGGGAGAGAGAGAATAATATAAAAATAAGGGTGTCTTGCTCCAATTGTACAGGGCATTGTTGAGACCGCACCTCCAATACAGTATACAGTTTTGGTCGCATTATAGACTAGGTGGTCTCAAAATGGCACCTCACCACTTGGAGGGGTGGCCAGCCACTACTCGATCTGATGAAAATGCATTAGAGCTAATTTGATTCATTGAACTCTATTCAATATCCAATCCCTTTTGTAACGGCCTTAAATACTTGCATTTGTTTTGGGACTACTGTTATGAAGCTATGCTTTCTAAAAATACTTTTTTTTGGGGGGTGGGCAGACAGAAGGAGATCCAAGGAGAAGACTCTGAAGAATCACACCAGACTCTGTATGTCAATTCATTTTTCCTCTGTACAGATGTTGCCTGACCAGAGATTCCCCAGTATTTTTGTTTTTACTTTAACACAGCTGCTGTGTCCAGAAGAACAGATTAACCATCCATTTGCATCTCTAAGCTACCTCAAAGGCAAAAGCAGAAGATCTGCCACTCCCAGACTGACATCCCTCTCAAAACATCACCTTGAAAAACCCATACCACTTTAATCTTAAGTGGACTTTTAAAATGTTTTATCCTACCTTGTAACCTAAAATTTTGTATAGGTGAACCAGACTGCGTGCATACATCCATAGGAGTTGGAGAATTTTATCTTATTTAGACAAATATAAATACATACAACTCTTTAAAACTTAATGAAACCTGTCTGTGTCTTTTAATTGGCTACTGATTGCAGAACCGTGATATTCACATTAAGCAAGAATGGAATCTATGCCTGATCTCAGCACACCGATTCAACTAGACCAGTTCCCTAGCTGATATTCAAGGCCCAAGGGTTCAGGTTCAAGTCCCATTTCACTCTTGAACATAAAAATGTGGAGTATACTGAAGGAACGCGACCCCCGTCAGAAGCGCTGTCATCTTCAAATGAGATATTAAACCCAAGGCCCCATCTGCCTGCATATGTTGATGCAAAAGATCTCATGGCTCTATTTCAAAGATGATCTAGGTAGTTAATCCCAGCATTCTGGTCAATATCCATTCCATAATGGACATCAGAACAAACAGATTATCTGGTCATTATCACATTACTGTTTGACAGTTTCCTGAGCTCAATTTAGCTGCTGTGATTTTGACATAAACAGTGACTACACTTCAGAAAGTACTCAATTAGCTTCGCTTTACCTAAATAATACCACAGAATCTTCTAAAATCAACCTGAGCAGGCAGATTGGGCTGTGTCTTGATGTCTCATCTGAAAGACAGTACCACAGGGTACAGAACTTGCTCAGTACCATACTGGACTGTCAACCTTGGTTGTTCTGCTCAAGCCCCACTGTGCAACTTAGACTTAGAACTTTGTGATTCAGATTATGTTGTATCAATTTAGTCCTTACAAACATGCAACTACATATTGAGCCACGGAAGCATTTAGAGATACAGGACAGACAATTCATCAGAAATGAAAATGGAAGTTAAATAAATGTTGATTTGTTCTATATCATTGTTTCTTTATTTGTACAAAAATTCTCAACATCTTCCAAGATCAATTTATTCTCAATAAAATATCAATAGAAAAATATTCAGTAGTATTTCTTGCACTGATGTTTACGTAGTCCCGTTTAAACAATATCATTTCAGATACTGGTGCCTCTTCAGAGTAAACAGATCAACAGTTACATTTTCAGTTGCATATTCCTCAACTGTTCCGAGAGTCTGTTAAACTTTACTATAGCAGTGAAATTAAGCATTTGACCCTGCTTACATAAAACAGATTCAAAATGTTTTAAAAATTGCTACCTTGGACCTTGTGAAATTCTAATTTACGGCAGTGGCATTTGCACTGTGGCCATATTACAACTGAAGTGGTAAGAAATCGTCTCCAGCAGAAAGATTCTCATTTCTTGTCTAATTGCTTTAAATGATTTCACACCCAAAATGCAAAGTTGAAATGGCTCTACAAGTACAAAAAAAAGTGACCTGTTAGCATTATACACAGAATCCCTACAGTACAGGAAGAGGGCATTTGGCCCATCAGGTCTGTACTGACCTTCTGAAGAACATCGCATCCAAACTTAGCTGCTACCTGTAGCCCTGCATTTATCATCTCTAATCCACTTAGCCTGCACATCCTTGGATGCCATGGGGCAATTTAGCATGGCCAATTCACATAACCTGCACATCTTTAGATTTTGAGGGGAAACCAGAGCACCCAACGGAAACCCACATAGATAGCGGGAGAATGTGCAAACTCCACATAGACAGTCACCCAAGGCTGAAATTGAACCCTGGTCCCTGGTGCTGTGAGGCAACAGTACTAACCACTGTGCCATTTAATGCAAGTGATCACAATATGTTCTGACATTAGTCACATATTTAAAGAATATTGTATCAGAGAAAGTGTAGCCCTATGTATAAAGAAAGCAGTGATCCTCAAACTTCTTTGGTTGGAGGATCTATTTTTCAAATGGATTAGTAATCACAGAAACCTCACGTAAATATTATACAATATTCAGTAGCTGGTCAGCTTTCTATGTCATACAACATAGGAACAACCTATTTTCCAGCAACCTTTGCAAGGGCTGGACTGCATCATTACCCCCAGGAATCAGATTTTAATTTAATTTTGATGTTTCCGATAACTATTTGCCTTTTGCTTTAGGTCCAGCACTCCACCAGGGGCTGTCTTTCCTGGTCAATGTTTAAAAACACTAGAAACAAGCTATTTGGCTGACTGGCCAGACACTGTTTGCATATCAAATGATCATCTTTCCACCTCATAACATCTAACTTTTCTAATCCCAGTTTATTTAACCCTCACCCTTGGAATCAATCTTTTTTGGCTTCCTCTCTAAAAATTCTTATAAAAACCATTAGAGTTTTTTTGAAAACAAGTGTGCTTTTAATATCAGCCAAACTGGCATCTCTCTGAAATCTTATTAGTTTTTCAAACTGGATTTTTCAGGACAAAATTTGTTTGCAATTTGTATTGACAATAAGATATTTGCATCAAGAATTGCTGCCGGATATTTTTCCATTTGTTTCACTACAACACAATCTAACCAGCAAACGACCAGTCCCCTGTGTGACAGCCAGATTCATTCCTCCCAGTAGCAAGTTGAATTGCCCTTTTTCCAGCGTCTTCCTAAGCAACTGATTCACACACTTCATCGCACACCGCAGTTCAAGGCCCCAAACTTCTCTCCATTCAACACAGTAATTGGTGCACAATCCATAATCGCAAAACAGAAAATAACTATGCATTTCCTTGCGTAGTCATTGTATCAGGTTTGATTTTGCATTATACAAAATGAATCTTCATTTTTAACTTTGCCGCTGTTATTCTACACGAGCGACTTTCATTGTGTTAACTTGCAGATATACTGATACAATTGCTCTGTAAAGGCATCCACAGAAAATGTTTGCAGGACTCGACTTCTTCCAGCCTCCCCCATTTTTGCCCCTAAATCGGGATTCCTAACTAGCTTTTCCATGGCTTCAGCGAAACTGCTTGGCGACGGCTGCCGAAGAAAGCCGGTGACTTGGTCCACCACCGACTCCAGCGGTCCGCCCGAGTTCACGGCGATGACCGGCCGCCGACTGTACATGGCCTCCAACGGCACGATGCCGAAATGCTCGTTGCTCGGCGTGTACAAGACGCAACGACAACGGCGGAGTAGGGAAACCTTCTGCTGGTCGGAGAACGAGCGGAGGAAGGTCACCCTGTCGGCCAGCTGCAGCTGGTCCGCCATCTCCTGCAACTCCCGATAATGCTCGACGTTCTCCGGTACCCGCGGGTCGTAGCCCCCTGCCAGCACCAGGTGAACCTGCTGCCAGTCCACTTGGCCTAACCTCTCTCGGAGGCAGTGCAGGGCCTGCAGAGCCAGGCCCAGGTTCTTCTTCCTCTCGAAGCGGTTGATGGAGAGGAAGACGAAGTCCCCGCCAGGCCCAAGTAGCTCGTCCTCTTCCAGGTCCTGGCCGCCCGCAGGCTCGGCGAAGCTGAGCGACGGGTAGAGGACATCAGGCTCCAGGTGGGACAGGGTGCGGAAGGTGCGCCTGAAGACTCCGGCCGTGAACTTGCTGTTGACCAGTATCAGGTCGGCCAGGCCCGTCGTGTACTCCTCCAGCCAGTCAATGGGAAGGCGGTAGAGCCGCTGGCACAGGCCGGGCCTGCCGCTCTGCAGCAGCCGGTCCGGGAAGTGGCAGTAGAAGAGGACCCGCTTGGTTCGCCGGCACAACTTGAGCACGGGGATACAGGCCGACACCTGGTCGCAAAAAACCACGTCAAACTCAACGCCGCTGAGGAAGACCAGGTACCAGGCCACGTATAGCATCCGCAGGTAGGCACACAGGGCCGAGCAGCGGCCTAGCAGTGTCCGGGGCAACCAGTCTCCCACACAGTGCACGGGCAGGGCCGACCGCCGGCACTCCGAGAAACAGTGCGCATGGTCAAAGTGAGCCGTCCAGATTTGTACTCCGCAACCGCGCCTGCGCAGGGCCAACGCCGCGTCCACCACCAGCCGCTCGGCACCGCCGATTCCCAAATCCGGGTGGAGAAACACCACTTCCACCATCGTCTCTATCTCTCTCTGTCTGTCACAAACGCACAGTCGCGGGCATGGGCCGGTGCCGCTCTCCAGATTAACTGTGTCCACGTTGTCAGGGAGCGGACCCTCCTCCGGCGCTTCTCCCAATTAGACAGGCTGTCCTCAGTCACGCCTGAATGTAGAAAAGGTCCCCCCACATTCTTCCGCCTCATCGTGCCAGTTATTGATATCAGGCAGCGAGCTGATGCAATGCCATAGGCGAGGAGTTGTAGTTTATTTTTTTCTCTCCTTTAATTTTGAAATGTATTTTACCGTTGTTGTGCTGTGTCCCTTTCGTCAGGCGGTATAAGGGCACCAAAGCAGCGGGGTCCTGAGTTGTGTGTCGTGGCCGCCTGAGGAGAGAAGCCGATTGAAAAGAGCAGAGTGAAGCCGAGGGCCCGGTGTAGTGCAACAACATGGTAATAACCCATTGTCCGCAGAGTGAGCATCTCACGGGAGATCTTCTACCGCTTGGCTATAGTTCCAGAGCAGGGCAGCGCTGGGGGTACATGCGGCTTAGAGACAGATACAAAGTAATGGCGATCTAGTAGGCCCCACCAAGGCCTTCAGCTTCTCTGACTGCCGCACGTTCAGTATTTCACCGGCAATATCCCAAGAACTAGAGGACTTACATTCTGTCCCGAATCTCTGTTGTCATGGACGAGAGATGTCCGTGATCCGGCGTTTCAGTCTGTTTGTTTGAACTCATCAAAAGGTTTGTGGCTCACAACAACGCCACGTCAGCAGTAGTCAAAACCCAAATGCCTCTAAATGAGGTAAATGCGTTTGCAGTAATGAAATTACCCACCAGTGGATCTAACATGGTCGCAAAATTATTAGAACAAATATTCTTTGGGACAGAATTAATCGCCACATGGAGAGGCAAGGATTAATCAACACAGAACGCTGGAGAAACTCGGCAGCTTCGATTCTGGTCGCTTCTCTCCACAGATGCTGCCAGACTTGCTGAGTTTTTGTAGAAATTTTCTGTATTTGTTTCAGATTTCTAGCATCTGTAAGGATGAATCAAGGCGACTCAGCATGGCTTTGTTTGGGAGAGATCAGGTCTAACAAATTCATTTTTTTTTGAGGAGGTGACTGGCTGTGTGGGTGAGGGTAGTGCAGTTGGTGTAGTCTTCATGCACGTCATTAAGATTTTTGGCAAGGTCTTGCATGATACACTGGTTAAGAAGCTTAGAGTCCATGGAATCCAGGGCAGTTTGGCAAATTGGATCCAATAATGGCTTAGTGGAAGGAAGCATAGTGTGAATGAAGGGTATTTTTGTGACTAGAACCATGTCCAGTAGTGCTCCACAAGGTTTGCAGTGTACATTAATGATGTGGACATGACTGTAGGACATAGAATCAATAAGTTCACAAATGACATGGAGGTTGGTCTGTTGAATAGTGAGGAGAAGAGCCTTTAGACTGTTATATAGATGGACTGAACAGTGAAAAATGAAATATAATCCTGAAAAGTGTAGGGTGATGCATTTTGGGAGGACTAACAAGGCAGGGGAGTAAATATTGAATGGTAGGAAGCTTAAAATGCAGTGAATTAGAGGGACCTAGATGTGTGTATCTATAGATCCTTGCAGGCAGCAGGTCAAATAGATTGATAAAAGGGCATATCAGATACATGTATTTATTTGTCAAGGGGCTGAACACAAAAGCAAGGAGGTATATGTAATGTTAGGCCACAGCTGGAGTACTGTGTGCAATTCTTGTCATGCAATAGAAAGGATGTGATTTCACTAGAAATGATACAAAGAAGATTCACCAAAATATTGCCTGGGCTGTAGCAATTCAACTATGAAAAGAGACTAGATAGGTTGGAGTTGCTTTCCTTGGAGCAAGGAAGGCTGGACAGAGGACGAAATTGAGGTATACAAAGCTGTGAGGGGGAAGAGATGGGGAACTTGTTCCCCCTTTTGGGAAGGGTCAATACCAGGTGGCTTAATTTAAAGGTAAGGAGTGGGAGGTTTAGAGAGAATTTTGAAGTAAAATGTTTTCACCCAGAGGGTGGTGGATATCTAGAATCACTGCCTAAAAAGATGGTAGCCTGATGTATAGAGACATTTAAAAAGTATTTATATGAGCGCAAATTCCATCGTGCACAAGGATATGGGCAAAGTGCTGGAAAATAGTATAGATGCTTAATTACTAGCAACACAATGAGCTGAAGTGCTCTCTTCTGTGCTGTAAGATCTTTGTCTGGAATAATTTTTCTTGAATAAAATGAAAACTGTTTACAACGTAATTGTTATAACTTGGTATATTGGTGTAAATATTAACTGGTTTAGGTGGTTTTCATTCTCAGAATTTTGATTTCACCAAATGCAGTTTAGTTTGTGCTTTTTATATTGCAGTGGCAATTCTCTGCTTTTATTATCTTCACATTAGAACTATAGAAATAAAATGTCTGATTTGAGAAAAGGCTAGTGAGAGGTAGGAAAGTCTGAATCCTGTTCCATACTTCATAACTTATGTGAGGATAGCTACCCCAGTTTGTTAAAGTGTTAGAAGATTTCATGAGAGCATGCATGGGAGAGGTTGAGAGTTCATTCTCATTTTGACCCTATTTCTAACAGTTCCAAATCTGCTCTTGTCACCAAATTTAGGTTAACACTTCAATGCAATGTTATAGCTTGGAGCTGCTCTTTGATGTGAAATGTTAAGTTGAAGCCTAGTGTGCTTTTCGTTTGAGTTTGTGGAGGTGAAACCTGGCTGTTCATTTGTCTGTGAGAATGGTGGTTCTGATGATAGGTCATCAATCTCAAACATTGATATTTTTTCTGACCCTGTAAATACTACCAGACCTGAATGCTGAACATTTCCAGCATTTTCTGTTATTAGTGTCTATGTTCTATGCTTGTATCTAGACACCAACTAAGATGACCTTTTTAAGTGTGACACAAACTCCTATTAATCCCTTTCAACTAATTCAGTGGGTTTGGAAAACTTGACTATTGAATCAGTTTGTGTTCAGAGTGGCATTAAGTAATCAATATACTATATAGTGCTGATGGCTACTGCATTTTACCTCACTGCTATTGAGCCTTAAAACATAAGGTCAAAAAACTGTTTTGCCACCACTCCTGACATCCATTTGACCCAAAACAATTAGTACCAATTGTTTTGGTATTTTGAATCACTGTACATTTTGTGTGAAAAGAGCACTTTATTCTCTCAATGCTAACATTTTTTTTCACCATTTAGCCTGGACCTGCTGCAAGTGCAACAAATGTCGGTGCCTCCAGCCGATCACCCAGCAAAGCTGTCGCACCCCGCAATGCTGGTGGTGGATCCACAGTGAGGCAGAGGTAAGTAACACAAAAGTGATGTAGTACATGTGAGCTAACATTTGTTTCCGGTAATATGCAATGTGACAATGGATTGGTAATTGCCTATGATTAATCTTTTTATCTTGATTCGATTATTGTTGGTAATATTACTTAAATCATTCTTGGAAAAGTCAGCAGTTTTTAAGTACTAAGCTAACCAATGTCTGTTAAAAGATTCCCCTTAAAAGCCCTTTGAACTTTAAGATTTATACTTGAGACACACGAACATAAATAATCCCAAATTTTTACACTTGAGGTGAATTGTATTTCACTCACTTAACTTTTTGCTGATTTATTTTAATGCATATATGAACAGTGAGGGAATTTGTAGGCTGAGTATTGTAAAGGGGTTTAATTTCAGTCATCTTCCATGCTATAACTGTTTTTGATTTTATTACTAAATTGGAAATTAAATTGAGCTTTTGCAAGATACAATTAATGATGAAATAGTAACAATGAATGTAAAGATGTGTGAACTGGCCAACCCAGGTAGCAAAAGGAACAAAATTCATGTTTTGAATATAACCCTACATCAGTTTGTGTTTATTTTAAACAAATGTAGATATTGTGATGAACATTCGTCATTTCCTTTTACGACAGTGAAAGGAATATGATGCTAATATTAAAAATGTATTTGGCAGTCAGCAATGTGTTGTATATTATGAGAGAACTGTTTGGGGCAAATGCTTTTATATGTGAAAGCATTGAGTTCTTTGATTGCGTAGGGAATAAACACAGAAACAAGCCATTCAGAACAGAAGGTCATTGGTTGAGCCTTGATCTGTACTGTTTCAACTGCTGAACTAATACTCAAACCAATGACCTTTGGCTCTGTATGGCTTGTTACGTTGTTGAAATAGGGGTTTTGTTTACAATTGTTAATGAGATTATAGTAGGATAAGGCATGTGGATGCCTGATGAGGAAAAGATTGCTTATGATTGTGATGCTTCCACAATCTACTGACACACAATTATCTTGTCATTCATGGGAGATGTATATTTGTGGTAAGTAATTAAGGTTTCTGGGTAGCTAGGAAGAATATTACATAAAGAACCATTACCTTCAGGAGAAACAAAAAAAGTTAGATATCCACATTCTTAGAAAATGATTGCTTAATAGAGGTATTTAATTTGAATAATGTTTAAGATCTTTAGGAAAAGCTATTGGATGCAACAGTATGCACTGATCCAATTACAATTTTGTATGGTGGACTGATCAGAAGATTAGTTTCCATATTATAGAGGAGTTGGTAAATTGTGAAAAATATGTAGAGCTTTATTGACTGAAGTTGTAATTCAGTTGCTTTTTTTATTGTTTGTGTCTGGGTGTCACTAGCAAGGCCAGCATTTGTTGTCCAAAACTAATTGCACCTTGAACTGATTTACGTGTTAGGCCTTTCCAGATGACTGTCAAAAGTCAAACACTTTACTATGGGGTGCTGTCAAATGTAGGCCAGACCAGAAAAAGATGGCAGATTCACTTCCCTAAAGGGCATTCATTTTATAACAATCAATGATAATTTCATAAGCACCACAACTGAGACTAGCTTTACATTCCCAGATTTAATTAATCATACTCAAATTCCATTAGCTGTGATGGTGGGATTTGAACCCATGTCCCCAGTGCATAAGTCTGAGCCTGTGGATTACTATGCTAGTAATATTACTACTATGGCATCTCCCCACTATTTGATAATTAGTGATCTAAAGTGCTATATCAGTTCTCTAGTAGATGATTCAGAACATTTAGTATATTAAAGCATTTGGCTTTGAGGAAAATCAGTCTCAATAAGATATTGACTTGTAAAGGATAGCATTGTGAAATGGCACAATGCTGGCATATCAACAAATACTGCTTGTTTTAATTAAAAGTAGAGCAGTTTATTTGAATGCTTGTGTTTGAAATTGTCTAAGTTTCAATGTTTAGTAATTATTTGTATAAAATACAAATTTGCAAATCACATTTTAGAACCATTAAGTATTCATAAAAATCTGTTCTGTTTCCCATCCCATGCAAAACTAAAAGAAAATCAATGACTCTTCATTCTGTATTCATTTTGCTGAAAACTATACTGTGAAAAGTGGTAGTAAGAACTGCCAATGCTGGAGTCAGATAACACAGTGTGGAGCTGGAGGAACACAGCAGGCCATGCAACATCAGAGGAGCAGGAAAGCTGACGTTTCAGAAATTTCTGAAGAAGGGTCCCGACCCGAAATGTCAGCTTTCCTGCTCCTCTGATGCTGCCTGGCCTGCTGTGTTCCTCCAGCTCCACATTGTGTTATCTGCAAAAAGTGGTGTAGTGTGTGCGAAGTGAAAAATGCTAATTGGTGATTCATGTCTCTCAGTACTGATGGGAGCTAAAGAGACTAGTGAGAAAAGATCAAGTCTTTTCTCATTAGAGCAAGTGTTATTGAATTTATCTAACATTCTGTTCTCCTGTATTTCACAGCATTGTCTTGCTCACCTCTCCTTGTGCCCCATTGAACATGTTAATTCTCAAAGTTTTCATCATATTTTCAATACTTTTTGACATTATTTCAGCTTGGATCTAATTTTCAGCCTATATCCCTACTTGAATCCTGTTGTTTCTGCCCTTGGTGTCTTCAACCATCATGATCATACAATTCAGAATTCTCTCCCTAAAGCTCTTGAATTTGCTCAATCACTTCCATCCCCTCTGATGCATTTCCACCACCACCTTCATTAGTTGTGCATTTCCCTCAGTGTTCCACATACCAAATGTCTCTAAGCTAACCTTCAGCAACAAATCCAATGATGACTTCTTTGTGGAGCGCATTGAGTTAAGGTCATTGGGTCCACCACCCTCTTCTGGCATTTGAGCAGTGGGACCGAGGGTGACATTGATTTTTCTCGGGCACTTTTCTTCCTGCAATATGTTTTCTATCACATCAATAATAGAACTTGCATGCTTTCATAGTTTTTAATTTAAAATATTACATAGTATAACTTTGCCAATACTTTTGGCGTGTAGATTTTTCACAGCTGATTTCCCATTCATTTATGTAAATTTTTACAGCATTTACATCCTCCTTTTTGTATTGCCACACTCTGGGGTTGTCTTTTCATTTTTAGAGACTGTCCGTGAATGAAGAGAATGTTATTACTTTAGTGTATGAGAATTTCTATTGATTGTAGACCCTCACTGAGTCATGCTTTGCAATGCTGACAGTTAGCAATTTTAGCTTTGGCTGGATTAGCAAGTTTCAGCATTTGACATTGGTTAATTGACTAGCTGCTTGAGAAGTGTTAAAGGATAATTAATATTACACCGTGTGATTAGCTGCTACGTTTTTCATCATTATTATCATTGCATTGTTAGGATTTGTACATTTCAAGGCTACTGTTATTAACCTTTGAAACAAAACATGCACTTTTCTGCAAAGAATGCTGATCATGGCTTCAATGTCAAAATAATGTAATTAGAATTATATTTAAAAACCATCTGGTCAGTCCACATTTCACCTAATTCGACAAAACGGCAGATCAAATGTTGAATGAAACAAATACTGGTTTTCAGCGAAACAGTGTGGAGCTGGAGGAACACTGCAGGTCATGCAGGATCAGAGGAGCAGGAAAGTCAACGTTTGGGTTTACACGCTTCAACAGGTCTAGGGAGGGAGAAGGGAGCTCATAAGTAAAGAGATGGAGGGCTGAGTCGAGGGGAAGGTAGAGCAGATAGGTGAGAAAGAAGATGGACGGGTTGTGTCAGGTCACGGGGGTGGGGGTTGGACATGGAACGAGGCCAGGGCTGGGGAGATTCTGAAACTAGTGAATTCTATGTTGAGGCCATTGGACTGTAAGCTCCTGAGGCAGAATATGAGGTGTTTTTCCTCCAGTTTACATGTGGCATCATTGTGACACTGGAGGAGGTCCAGGATGGATATGTCATCAAGGGAGTGGGAGGGGGAACTTAAAATGGTTGGCAACCAGAAGGTTGATTACAGAGTGCAGATACTCCGCGAATTGGTCTCTGAGTCTGTGCTTGGTTTCACCAATGTAGAGGAGACCACATTGGGAGCAACGGATACAGTAGATGTAGAGAAATTGGGAGTATAGGATTGCATTCTTGCAGGAGGGTGGGTGAGAAGTCAAGTTCTTGTAGCTATGAGAGTCAGTTTGTTTGAAATAGATGTCGGTGCTGAGCCGGTTACAACAAGAACTTGATGACCCCTCCTGCAAGAATGCAATCCCATACTCCCAATTCCACCATCTCTGCCACATCCACTCCCAGGGTGGAGCATCCCGTTCCTGGACGTCCCAGATGTCCTCCTACTTCAAGGACAGTAACTTCTCCCCTCCGGTGATTCATAATGACCTCAACCACATCTCTTGCACTTCTGCCCTCAAGCCCCCACACCTCCATCAAAAATAAGGACAGAGACCCCTGGTCCTCGCATACCACCCCACCAACCTGCGAATCCAGCACATCATCTTCTGCCACCTGCAATCTGACCCCTCCACGAAAGAAGAGATTTCCCTTCCCACCCTATCTGCCTTCCATAGGGACTGCTCACTCCACAACTCCGCAACTGCCTCATTCGACCCAGTACCTTTCCCTGCAACTGCTGGAGATGCTACACCTGCCCCACACTTCCCCCTGTCACCTCTGTCCAAGGCCCCAAATAATCTTTCCAAATCCAACAGGGATTCACCTGTACGTCCCCCAACCTGATCTACTGTATCCGTTGCTCCTGATGTGGTCTCCTCTACATTGGTGAGATCAAGCGCAGACTCGGTGACTGATTTGCAGAGCATCTATGCTCTGTATCCTATAATCAACAGCACTTTCTGGTTGCTAACCACTTTAACTTCCCCTCCCACTCCCTTGGTGACATGTCCATCCTGGGCCGCCTCCAGTGTCACAATGATGCCACACGTAAACTGGAGGAACAACACCTCATATCCCGCCTCAGGAGCTTACAGCCCAATCGCCTCAACGTAGAATTCATCAGTGTTC